CGCAGTATTCTCCAATGCTGTCGTTCTTTGTGGAGATTTTGAAAAACTGCTAGTATTTCTTACAAACTGTTAAAAAATACTCGAACATTAGTATTCTGTGGTGTTGCCTGCTGAAGAATCAAATTCAGTTGGTGCGGATAACAGAGTACATGTATAAAGTGAGCATTGGTTTACACTTCTGTTACTTTAGTTTGCGCACCTTTGTTGACACCACTTAACACAGCTGCACCGTCGCAAGTTTGAGCAGTGAGCTTATGCAGAAGATCAATTAAAATCTGAGGCTCTTTTAACAAAACACTTGACAATACTTCTGCTGTTTGATTGGTTACACTAAAAAATCCTCAGAATCTATCAACAGGTTTGTCTTGTAGCTTGTACCTTAGAACAGTCACCATTTGTGTCTTGTCATAAATGCCTGTTGTTTCATCACATATAACTGCCAAGTATTCAGCATTCTTCACTTCTTCCTTGATTTTGTTTTTGCAAATTTCTAACATAGATTCTAAAAGTTCATTTTGTATTGATTTTGATGTTCCTTTAAATACTGTAGCATTATGTATATGAGCATCTAAGCTAGAATCCAAACTACAGGCAAAATTAACTAGGCCTCGAAATACACCTGGATTTTTCGAGCTCAAGGTTTCATCATATCCTCTGAGAGAGAGCTCAAATTTGCCACAGAATTTTATGCAGTTTATAATTTTGGACAATATATTTGTTTTTTTTTTTGACCTCTTCATTGTGTTTCACTATCAAAATCTTGTATACTGAATCAGTTTGAGCTGCAATGTTCACTTGACCCAGCACTGACAAATCAATAATGTTATTGACATGCTTGGTTGACTGCTCATGTTTCATTACTTTTTGTGGTAAATACCACAAGTTAGTCATGCCACTTTTTGCCCATGAAGAGTCTCCACCAAACAGTAAGTTTGGAAAACAGAATAAAGCATTCTTCTTGTCATAGTCACAAAGTCATTCACTTTTCTGGTAAACACTGACGCTAAAGTGGCGCGTATATTCTTTGCTCCTGCTTGTATGTTTTTGTAGAATGGATAAAACTGGTGTATGTTGTTTTTTTTTCTTTTAGCTTTACTTTTTTTGCTTAAAATCAACTGCAAAAAGTTAATACTTTGTAAATATTTAGCTGAGTTTACTCTAGTTTCCACTGCCATCGTTTATCAAATGGTAATTAAATTTAATGACATTGAAAAGAATTTAAATGGCTACCAACACCAATACCGCCCACGCTTTACAACGCACATCAAACTTCTATTTTTAATAATTTTTTATCTTCTTTCAACAAAAAAATAAAACTTCGCTTATAAATACATTGAAAACAGCATACAACAGATTTTTCCTGTAATATATTTGCCAGTTGCAAATTATTTTAGCGTAAGGTTGATGAAGTCATACATCTGGCGGTGAGCATCTGGGGGGACTGAGCTCCACAGCTCCTATGGATGAGCTGCCACTGACACCACCACCACTGACACTGACACCACCACCACCACCACCACTTGACACCATCCCTGATACCACTGCTACCACCGCTATCACTGGCACCACTACCACTGGCACTAATACCACCGACACCACTACCACCACCACCCCTGATACCAATACTGCTACCACTATTTTTGATACCACTTCTACCACCACCATCCCTGACACCACTACCATCACTGACATTTACCTATGACCATCGCCCTGGACTCCACTACCACCATGCTTGACACCATAACTGACACCACTACCACCATACTTGAAACCATAACTGACACCACTACCACCATCCATGACACCAGAGCCACCACCACTGACACCTCTACTACCATAGCTAACTTTGACACAACTGACATTATGACTAACACTGACTCCTCCACTGCCATCACTACCCCTAACACCAGTACCATCACCATGTCTGACACTAGTATCATCACTACCACTATACACCACCACCATATCTGACATCACCACCACCACTACCACCTTCATTACCAGTGATCAATGTAGAGTGAGACATAACTATGATACATAGCAAAACACCACTTGGACACTAATGTGCGAAACAGCCAAGTAAGATCTGTATAATTCAGCTGCAAACAGTCTTTGAGTCCTGACCAACTCCACTTCTGTTAATGTTTCAGAAATCACGTGTTTCGTGATTTCATTAATATATAGACTGCTCATGAAGGCTGGTACCCCAAACAGGATGAGGTTGAAATTAGATTCTGAGGCTCATCAACCGTGTGTGTGTGTGTGTGTGTGTGTGTGTGTGTGTGTGTGTGTGTGTACTCACCTTGTTGTGGTTGCAGGGGTTGAGTCATAGCTCCTGGCCCTGCCTCTCCACTGGCCGCTACTGGGTCACTTTCCCTGCACCATGAGCTTTTATCATAACTCTTCTTAGAGCTATGAATGGATCCTGCCTCCACTACATCGCTTCCCAAACTATTCCACTTCCTGACTACTCTGTGACTGAAGAAATACTTCCTAACATCTCTGTGATTCATCTAAGTCTTCAGCTTCCAACTGTCCCCTTGTTGCTGTGTCCCATCTCTGGAACATTCTGTCTCTGTCCACCTTGTCAATTCCTCTCAGTATTTTATATGTCATTATCATGTCCCCCCTGACTTTCCTGTCCTCCAGTGTTGTCAGGTCGATTTCCTTTAACCTCTCCTTGTAGGACATACCCCTTAGCTCCGGGACTAGTCTTGTTGCAAACCTTTGCACTTTCTCTAGTTTCTTTACTTGCTTGGCTAGGTGTGGGTTCCAAACTGGTGCTGCATACTCCAATATGGGCCTAATATACACAGTGTACAGGGTCCTGAATGATTCTTTATTAAGATGTCGGAATGCTGTTCTTAGGTTTGCTAGGTGCCCACATGCTGCAGCAGTTATTTGGTTGAAGTGTACCTCAGGAGATGTGCCTGGTGTTATACTCACCCCAAGGTCTTTTTTCTTGAGTGAGGTTTGTAGTATCTGGCCCCCTAGACTGTACTCCGTCTGAGGTTTTCTGTGCCCTTCCCCAATCTTTATGACTTTGCACTTGGTGGGGTTGAACTCCAGGAGCCAATTGCTGGAACAGGCCTGCAGCCTGTCCAGATCCCTTTGTAGTTCTGCCTGGTCCTCGTCTGATTGAATTCTTCTCATCAACTTCACATCATCTGTAAACAGAGACACTTTGGAGTCTATTCCTTTCGTCATGTCATTCACATATACCAGAAACAGCTCTGGTCCTAGGACTGACCCCTGTGGAACCCCACTCGTCACAGGCACCCACTCTGACACCTCGCCACGTACCATGACTCGCTGCTGTCTTCCTGACAAGTATTTCCTGATAAGTTGTAGTCCATTCCCTGTTATCCCTGCCTGGTCCTCCAGTTTTTGCACTAATCTCTTGTGTGGAACTGTGTCAAATGCCTTCTTACAGTCCAAGAAAATGCAGTCTACCCACCCCTCTCTTGTCTTACTGCTGTCACCATGTCATAGAACCCCAGTAGGTTTGTGACACAGGTTTTCCCATCCCTGAAACCATGTTGGCTGTTGTTGATGAGCTTATTCCTTTTTAAGTGTTCCACCACTCTTCTGATAATCTTCTCTATGACTTTGTTTACTATACATGTCAGTGACACTGGTCTGTAGTTTAGTGCTTCATGTCTGTCTCCTTTTTTAAAAGATTGGGACTACATTTGCTGTCTTCCATACCTCAGGTAATCTCCCTGTGTCGATAGATGTGTTGAATATTGTTATTAGGGGTGCACATAGCGCCTCTGCCCCCTCTCTCAGGACCCATGGAGAGATGTTATCTGGCTCCATCGCCTTTGGGGTATCTAGCTCACTCAGCAGCCTCTTCACTTCTTCCTCGGTTGTATGTATTGTGTCCAACACTTGGTGGTGTACCGCACCTCTCTGTCTTTCTGGAGTCCCTTCTGTCTCTGTGAACACTTCTTTGAATCTCATGTTGAGTTCCTCACATACTTCACGGTCGTTTCTTGTTGTCTCTCCTCCTTCCTCTCTGTGTGTGTGTGTGTGTGTGTGTGTGTGTGTGTGTGGTGCGTGTGCGTGCGTGTGCGTGCGTGTGCGTGTGTGCGCATACGTACGTACGTACACTCACCTAATTGTGGTTGCAGGGGTCGAGACTCAGCTACTGGTCCCACCTCTTCACTGAACACTACTAGACTTTTTCCCTGACCAGTAATAATATCATCTTACTTCTTTATATTATTCTATATAAGAAGATTGCCTTTCGTGTATGTGTGTGTAATATGTTATAATTTATGTTTTGTATATTTTGTTAAATGTGTAAATATTGTACATATCCAAGTAAGAATTTGTATAGCCATGATTGTGCAGGTTTGAGCTCAATTTGTTAATACATGTATATATACTTAGTCTAATAATGTATTTGTTAGTTTCTTACCTAACCTCTTCATCATGTTTGTTTATATAGTATTCAAAAAATGTTCATTTACAGCTGTACATGATGTTCGAAATATCTTCACTTACAGCTATACAGGTTGTTCAAAACATGAAGTTCAACATTTACCAGTGTACAAGGTGTTCAAAAAGAAATACCATCCATTGAACCTTCTTCATCAAGCTTGCAACAGTTGCAGAAATAATTGACATTTTGCCAGTTTCATGAATGAACTCAGTGTTAATGAGTATTTCCATAATGTTGCATCATTAATGTCGCCCATTGTATCCTTTCTAACAGTGTTCATGTAGTAAGATGTTGCATTTCTTTTTGAACCTCCAAAAGCACAGTGTAACCCCTTTTAGGTTTAGCACTTGTAATAATACTAATACAGCCCTCAGTGTATATATCTCATGTTAATCATTTTGAAAATGATGTTCTTCGGTATGTTAACAAAGTTGCTTATGCCAAAGTATTGTTTTGTATTATGAGTCATTTAATTTTGACATCAGTCTGGCCATATTATAGACTTCAGTAGTAAATAGTGGATTATTTATTAATGGTTTTCTTTATGTTGCAGACTCTGGAGGGCATCCCAGACATTGTCTCTAATAATTTGAGCCTCAAGCAACTATTTACCACTCTTGTTGCTGCTGAGAAGACTACCAAGCAGAACAATGAAAACATTAATACTCAGAATGGATTTGGAAACACAGTCAACAATAAAGACATGAATGCTAATCCTCAATCAATTATAGATTCCGGAATTAACAACAAAATTCTCGCATCAGCATTAAAGTCAGAAACCCACCTTTGAGGTTCTTATTTATAATATTTACCAAGCAGTATCCCACTCAGCCTTGTTCATTCATATTAAAATGAACTCGAGTGTCTTCACCAGTGAATATGATGTGCAAAGCTTTACAACATTTGTTGAATTATATGCCCATATTAATGCGTATAAAGAACTTTTGTTTGGTGTGGATAGTAACATTATGTATCCATTTAGGTGCGTAGTTTAGCATGTTAATATAATGGCACATTTGTACATTCCTCTGCCTCACATTGAAGGAAAATCATGATTTAATTGTAGATTGGATTCCTTCAGCAGCTGTATTGATGAGTATCAAAATCTTACCATTCAGATATTCATGCCTAATGTTTGTGCACACAGTTTGCCATAAGCATTGTAATCATAAGTTTAAACCAGAATATTAATATTTATAAGAAGGTTTACACTTGTAATATAATTTTCTTCCCATTTAGCATCTTTTGCTTTCCATGTAACACCAAAGCTTCTTCATGTTAATGCTAACTCAAGCCTAGAAGGGGAACACAAGAAATTTAAGTTTCCAAACAACAGTATTTGCTGCATGGCAATTATAAATACTATATTCAGCTGCTAGTTTTGCAGCAGTACTACACAATAATGCAAATTTCCTCTTGAGAGAGAAATTTTAATATAAACTAGATGAGAATCTTGTGCACATTATTAGCACATTTGTTCTATTGTATGTATATGTCTGGTAAGCATTGGCTGGAACCTGATATTTCTCAAAAAATTGCAGTTGTTAATCACTGTAATTTGACAAAAAACTGCACATCTGATAAAAAGCTGTGCATGAATTTTTTCTTTGAGAAAACGATGGAATATTTAAGCTTTGACGAGCATTGATTTTAACTCTAGAATACGTATTTAATGGTAATACTTCAATTGCTGCATCATTTAAATGCTCACAACAGCAGTATGTAATGACAATGTTATTAAGATGCCATATATACTTAGCCACCCAGATGTGCAGAGCAGTATTTTATTTTAATGTGGTATAGAGGATTTTATCTGGTAACCTGTGTTGAGTGACCCATACAGGTTTACTGCTTTTCAGGAATATAATATTAATATTGCAGCTTGGGCATGTATGTAAATTGTGTTATAGCAACACATCTCTCAACCAAAGTCTAGTATATTCTAGAGAATAAAAATGAAGCAGGTAATATAACTGTTACTGCTACATATTCTTTGTGATGAAACATGGATTGATATTACTTTTATTGGGCAGTTATATGCTGTTTCTGGTAAAAATTTAACTGGATGATTGAAAGGAATTTCTGTCCAAAGCCTTTACTCTTTTGTGAATATTTATTTTATGAAAAGTTTTTCCCTGACCAGTAATAATATTACCTTACTTCTTTATATTATTAATCTATTTAAGAAGATTGCCTTTTGTAAATATATAATAAAATATTAGTATGATTGAGAAGATTAGATGATTTTTTCCCAAGTGTAGATTAGTTTTAATGATCTCGTTTTGGTTTTGTTTGGCTTAGTTGCCAGCCTTGTATTTTGTACTTAGCATTTTAATAAAGAAATTTAAGTAGATGTGCTACTCTCATTATCGTCAATAAAATTTTGTCTTTTGCAACACAACAGCATACAGTGGAACTCCCGAATATTGGCCGTAATCCATTCCAGAAGATCGGCCTTAATTTGAAGCAATATTCCCCATAAGAATTAATGTAAATACAATTAATCCATTCAAGACAACCAAAAAAAAAAAAAAATACATTTTGTAAAATTTAACTGTAGTTTTACATACACAAAACAATGACAATTACATACAAATGAACATTTAAACCATTATTACATACCTGTAGTGATGACTTGTTGGCATATGGAAGAGAGGAAGGAAGAGAGGTTATTGTTTGGAAGGGGAATCCCCCTCCATAATGACTTCAGGTATCAAGTCCCTCTCTGGGATTACTCCTCTTCAAGGGGGGCTCCTTGGCGTGGTGAAGAGGCTCTTGGTCTGAGGAATTAGACCTATCGGTCTTCTTCCTCAGACCTGGAGTTTACCGAACCTAATTACCCCCCAATCTCCCCTCCCCTATCCCATCCTCCCCATCCTCCCCTTTTTCCTTTCCTCCTCCTCCTCCCCACCCCTCCCTTTTGCCCTTCCTCTTTTTGTCCTTTGGGATTTCTCCCACAGGCGCGCTAGTTCCTAGGTAGGGGAAAGGATACCGGGGTCCATCCCATTCCGTTGAGGTTCTTAGCGGTGGCGTAGTTTGCCGTGGAATCTGGATCGCCTGGGGATGTCCCGATCCCTCTCCGGTATCCCGGAGTAGCTTTGGGTGTCTTTCGGGCGACGAGTGTATCTCTGGAAGCCACCTTTCGGATTCCGGGGGTGGTGGCCGAAGGAGGTATGCTTTGTGGCGGATATCCGGCCGCCCTCTCTTTTGTCCACCGAGGTAGCTCGGCAGATGTGAGGTTGCTATCCCGGATTGTTAGTTTACTAGCATGATGGGTAGGGTATGGCACGGGTTCCATGCTGCATCTGCGCTACTTGCGGTGCTGAGGTCCTCTTGGGCGCGGAGGGAGATTTCTGGCCCTTTCATTCCTCCTAGGAACTATCCCTCCCCGGTCCCCCCTTTTTTTATTCTTTTTTTTATTTTTATTTTCTTCTTTCTTTTTTTTTCTTAAAAACAAAAAGAAAGAAGTAACCTAACCACGGCAGCCCTAGTCCATGAACCTGGTACCCCCGGGCCCCTTCTTGATACCGCACCCCGTTCTGACCCTGCCTCGTCTTTGGACCACTCTTCAGACATTCCTCATGCCTCTGTACCTATTGCCGGTGCTGTTTCCTCACCCGCTTCAGGTACTGAGGCCTCGACTGACTCCTTCGATTTATCGGACCTTCGCTGTCCTCTGACTATGCTTCCGGCCTCTCCCTCTACGGTGCGGCAATTTTCAAATCGCCGACCCATTCCACGTCGGACCAACTCTGGTCCCACGCCTAAACGCCAACGACAATTACCTGCTGATGATACTTCTCCACCTTCTCGTTCTTCTCAGAAATGATCGACACGTCCTTCACTACCTTTCCACGCTCAGTTTCAGACTGAACAATGGACTAAATTCTTCACTTTACGACCAACTTCCTCTACTGCCTATCTTTCTGACCATAGTATTGGCAAGGCACTCCTACGCCATGTTGGTAAAGATATTTCTTTTCATGCTCTTAAGAGCGGTACGCACATCATTACCGTACAGAATGCTACCCAGGCTCATGAGCTCTCTCGTCTTTCCCATATCGATACTGTTCCTGTCACTCTTGAAAAACATCATTCCCTCAATTCTTGTAGTGGTACCGTCATTCTGCCCCATACCATAGTTCAACAAAATTTCCAGACATGTGGCACTGACATTCTTGAACAGCTGGAACTCCAAGATCTCCCAATCCTCAAGGTAGACACATTCTTCCTGCACGTGGGCGGAGACGATACCCTAGCAATGTGGCTCGTTTAACTTTTGACAGCCGAGAACTCCCATCCTCAGTTTATATAGCAGGACATCGGTTACAAGTTCGAAAGGTGATCCCTACACCACAACAGTGTAGAAATTGCTGGCGATTTGGCCATCCAGCGAAATATTGCAGATCTATCGCCGAATGCCCAGTCTGTGGTGCCGATGACCATTCTAATACGTCTTGCAATCGATCTCCCTCTTGCCTTAACTGTCATGAGGCTCACCCTTCGTACTCTCGCCGTTGTCAGGTCTATTTAAACGAGTGGGAAATCCGTTACCTCAAAGAGACAGAAGGTCTCCCTTATGCCATGGCAGTTTCTCATCTCCGCCTCCAAGGGAGACTCCCACGTGTTTCTTATTCCCGTGTTTCAAAACGTCCCCCCACTTCTGGTATCCCATCTTCTACACCCACCTCTGTGGTTACCTCTCCCATAATCACTCCTGTATCTAATCCTTTTGCTGTCCTCGGCTCAGACGTCCCTACTTCAACGCCTCAGTCTAATCTCGCTTCTTCGAGTTCTCTCTCACAAGCCTCAGTATCAACGAGACCTGTACGACACCTCCTCCCAATCGTCCCTCTACTTCTCAAAAGTCAAAAAAGGTTCGTTAACACCTCCTACCCATCCTCCACCTCCTCATTTTACCCTCCCTGTCTCTGTCCCTGGTTCTTCCCCTCTCACTGGCTCAGTTACAAGTGTAGAGGTTCACCCTCCTCCTCGTACTGTACCTTCCTCCCCTGTTCCCTCCCAAGTTTCTTCCTCTTCTGCCACCTCCCAGGTTCCTGCCTCTTCTGTCCCCTGCCACGCTTCTCCAGTTCCCTCCACCCTTTCGCCCCCCCCTACCTTGGTACAGTCCAATACAGTTCCAATCTTACTCATCCTCCCCCTACCATCCCAATATTGTCTCCCATACGACATCTCTGAATTCCGAAACACTTGAAGCAATCTCTGAATATATTGCAGAGACCAAACCATCAATGGACACTGATCCACCTTCCGCTCTTTCTCTCTCCTCTGCTCCATCTGCGCAACTCCTTTCTTCACAGCGCACCGTTCCTTCGCTGCTTGAACGTTTTCCACTGCCTCCGCATGTGGACTTTTCTAACCCTTCTAGTCCGTAGGAACCCTTACCTGCGGATTTCAAGTATCTTTATCATTGCCAATCATGGCCTATTTACAGTGGAATATACGCGGCCTCAGGGGTAATCGGGGTGAGCTTCAGATGTTACTCTCCCAGTTTGCCCCTGTTGGTGTTTGCTTACAGGAACCAAAATTACACTCTGCTGTTATTTCTCACATCTCAGGCTATAATTTATTGTATTCTTCAGATCCTTTTCCTGATGGGACCTTTAATGAAAGTGCCCTTCTTCTCCGCACTGATATTCCGTACCATCAGCTATTTGTTCATACTTCGCTGCATTACACAGCAGCCCGTATCCACTTACATAGGTGGTATACGCTCTGTTCTTTATATCTCTCTCCTTCTCGGGCATTATCTATTCCGGATTTTGCCTTCCTTGTTTCGTCATTACCGCCACCGATTCTGTTACTTGGTGATTTTAATGCCCACCATTTCCTCTGGAGGGGGTCTCACTGTGATTCCCATGGAATTCAGTTAGAGGCTTTTCTTGCCACCCACCCCCTCCATGTTTTAAATACAGGTACTCACACCCATTTTGATCCTCGGACTCATACTCTCTCTTGCATCGATCTCTCAGTCTGCTCTTCCTCCGCCGCATTAGACTTCACTTGGTTTGTTCTCCCGGACTTACATGACAGTGATCATTTCCCAATCATTCTTACTTCCCCTTCATATTCGCCACCTCTTCGCACCCCACGCTGGCAATTTAATCGGGCAAATTGGAACCTTTACTCACACCTAACTGTTTTTAAAGAGGTTCCTTCTTCGTCCTCCATCGATGAGCTTTTACACCTCTTCTCGTCCTCCATTTTCACCGCAGCTTCTCATTCTATACCCCAAACTTCGGGCAGGCATTCTCAGAAATGCGTGCCTTGGTGGTCTCCTGCTTGTGCTCGTGCAGTACGTTTGAAACGCGCTGCATGGGGCAGGTACCGGTACAATAGAACCACAGAGCGACTCCTTGATTTTAAACAGAAGCGTGCGATCGCTCGCCGTGTCATCCGTGATGCTAAACGCACTTGCTGGCGAGATTATGTCTCCACCATCACCTCTGCTTCCTCTATGAGTGCAGTCTGGAAAAAAGTACGAAAACTGAGTGGTAAATATTCTCCTGACCCGGCTCCTGTTCTGCGGGTTGCCGGTGTTGATATAGCAAACCCACTAGATGTTGCCAATGAAATTGGCAATCATCTGGTCCGTATTTCTCAGGGACTCCATCTATGCCCCTCATTTCTTTCCTCAAAGTCTGCCAGAGAGTTAGCACCCTTGGACTTTTCTTCTCTCAGAGAAGAACAGTATAATGTGCCTTTTACACTTCAAGAACTGGAGGCAACACACTCAGCTTGTCGATCATCGGCAGCTGGGCCCGACGACATTCATATTCGTATGCTACAACATTTACATCAGTCAGCCCTTGCAGTCCTATTACGCCTTTACAATCTTATTTGGTCGCAAGGAGTTCTTCCACAGCTGTGGAAATCCGCCATTGTTCTCCCTTTCCGCAAACCAGGCACTACGGGACATGAAACCTCCCACTATCGTCCCATTGCTCTTACCAGTGCAGTTTGCAAAGTAATGGAACGCCTAGTAAATAGACATTTAGTGTGGTATTTAGAGACACACAACAGTCTCTCCACTCGTCAATATGGCTTTCGTAAGGGACGTTCTACCATAGACCCCCTTACTACGCTTGGATACGTATGTTCGTAATGCCTTTGCGAATAACCACTCAGTTATTGCCATATTTTTTGACCTTGAGAAGGCATATGACACAACTTGGAGGTATAATATTTTAGCCCAAGCCCACTCCTTAGGCCTTCGAGGCAATCTACCATCCTTCCTTAAGAACTTTTTAACTGACAGGCATTTCCGTGTTCGGGTTAATAATGTGCTCTCCCCGGACTTTATCCAAGCTGAAGGTGTCCCCCAGGGATGTG